GGTGGGGGGGGGTTCCCCCGCAGCCCCTCTCCCCCATTTCGCCTCCCGCTGCGCATGCGCAAAGGGGCTGCGCCCGGTAGGGGCAGAAAAGGGCGGGAAGGAGGCGCTGGGAAGCAGGGGCTGGTGTGCGTGCCGGGCCTGGCGGTATTCCCTGGGGAATTCCTGCCTGGCGCTTGGGCGAGGGGGCTGCCCGGGTAACGCCGCGGGACGGGGTTGCGTCCGTCTCAGACAGGGGTGAGGGCAGCACAGGGAGGGAGCTTCCCCAGCAGCAGCGCGTTGCCCCAGCGGCCTTCGAGGGTGGCTGAGCTTCCAGTGGCTGAGCCAAGAAGGATTTCAGTTGCCGTGGGCTTACGACCTCAGGATAGCTTCTTTCCTCAGCTTCAGTAAAATATCTTCTAAAGAACCAATCCTTGTCATCGGTGCAGAAAATGGGCAGGAATCCCAGGTGCAAAACAGCAGTGTCCGTAACATTTTACTTATGGAGAGGGCAGGCTCAAACCCAAATGGGATTATTCCGTCTACTCAGGGGCTAAACTGCTGTAGGGAGAATGGACTAAGCAACAAGTGATTAATAGGTAGCTGCTCCAAGAAAGAACAGACCTCTCAAACAGGTAAAAACAAAGGATGGTGCTGAGAAGATCGACCTCCCCTGGCTGCCAGCACACCGACCAGAAGAGCCCTGCAAAGTGACAGAGGAATGTTAGAGCTACTAAGATGATGAAGGGAGTGGAACATCTCCCTTATGAGGAAAGGCTGAGGGAGCTGGGTCTCTTTAGCTTGGAGAAAAGGAGACTGAGGGGTGACCTCATCAATGTTTACAAATATGTAAGGGGTGAGTGTCAGGGGGATGGAGTTAGGCTTTTCTCAGTGATGACCAGTGATAGGACAAGGGGTAATGGGTGTAAATTGGAGCATAGGAGGTTCAAGGTGAATATCCAAAAAAATTTTTTTACTGTGAGAGTGACAGAGCACTGGAACAGGCTGCCCAGGGAGGCTGTGGAGTCTCCTTCACTGGAGACATTCAAAACCCACCTGGATGAGTTCCTGTGTGATGTACTCTAGGTGACCCTGCTCTGGCAGGGGGGTTGGACTAGATGATCTTTCAAGGTCCCTTCCAACCCCTAGGATTCTATAATTCTATGATACTCCTGTGACCAAGGACAGGACTTGGGGAAATGGCAGGAAGCTGAATCAGTGAGAAGAGAAACGTTCCCAAATAGAGCCGGGCATCTGGAGAATGTCAGCAGCAGAAGCTGGTGCATGTGGGTTTCTTGCCTGCAAAAGTAGACATAAGGAATTGAGTTAATCATGGAATGCATCGTAAGGATGTGGCTCAATGAGTAAAGAGAAGGAACGGTGCTGAAATGGGACATCCTACTTAGTACTGTCAACTGGAAGAACCCAGATCAAAATAAGCGCTGGCTCAAGATAAGGCGTGAAGTCTGAAATGACTGTGCAGACAGGGAGTTGTTCAGTGAAACTTGGACACTATTGTGCAAGAGAAGACAGCCAACAGATGGAAGGGAAAATATTCCCTTCCGTCTTGATTTTCCACCTCTTAGTGGAAAAACTACATCACTGTAAGATTAAATAAAAACAGTGATGTTAGCTGAAGAGAAACTAACAGGAGTCTTTATGAGATTGACTGTGATTTTGGCTGTGGGAAGAGTCTTGGGAAGAAATTTTCACTGATGTCTGGAACAGGCTTGTAAATTATTTGCAGGTACAGAAAGGCAGCCATGCAAAAGCATTTGACAAGGGACATGTGACCTAGTTTCTTCTAATACGGACTGTTGCAGTTCTCTTCCTGTGAAAACCTGATGGTTTTTCTCGTGTTAGGTAACTGGGAAAAGGATTTTTGTTCTTTCATTCACATCAATGTGCCCTGAAAAACAAACTGCCAACAACGAAGTGCTGGTTCCACTAAGTTTTTCCTGTCCTCTTGAGGAGGGGCTTTTGGCAACATCTGTACCGTACAACATCTATTAGGCAACATGTAGCAGAGTATATGTCTGGTTTTCCCAAAACAGGGATTACAGCAGAATAGGAAGAGAACTGCATTACAGGGGCCCCATGAGATTGTTATGTAACCCAAAGAGCAATCTGTGAGCGACTGCGGGAAGTGAGTGCAATTCAGGCCAATGAGATCTTTCTCTTCTGGCCCTGTGTTTCCCCATCGAACACAGCTACCATATGGAAGCCTTTACATCTCTGCCTTTGCTACTAGTAGCAACTGTGGGTGAATGTCTCTCACCTGTCAGCATTTGTTAGCTTGATCAGTTTACATGCCCCGTGGGAACTGGCAAGGGATACTGATAGGTCATTCATCCATCAGAATTAGCTGCCAGCTATCCCAGACATGCTGATGGATGGATAGGTGGGAGATACCGGATGAGAAATGACAGCTTACTGCTTCAGCAATGTGAAAAGAAGAGAGCTGGAGAAAGTGGAGGCTGATGGTGGGTGAGAGGAACAGGGATAGGAATACGGAGACAAAACCATCTGAAGCCATCTACCCGTGATTTCCTTTTCGTGTCCCTGCTCGCTACCACCCTCTATTTTGTTCTGGTTCTGCACCACTGCAGTCAAGAGGAATTTTGCAGCTTCACTAGGGCCAGGATGGAATCTTTGCTTCTCTCTTGCATTTCATCTTTTTCATTTTTGTTTCTTCCCTTTCAGCATTTCCATACATCAATCCACAGTTCAGCGAAGAGTGTGAAGAAAATATCACTCCTTGCATTTTTCTAGTTGGAAGTTCCAGCTGCTCCTCGTCTTCCCAAGGCATGGAGTAGATAATGTGATTTGACACAAAGGCATGGCCATGTCTTCCCATGTACTCTGAGCAGGAGGATCCATTGCTCTGCTTCATGATGTGGAAACGGGGGAGTGATGCTGTGCACCCAGAGTTGATGCCTGAAGCCCCACCAGCAGGGTAGAGTGTTCCACTGACCTCCTTTCTTCGTTGAAGGGCATGAGGAAATGTCACAGTGCCTGACAAGAATATCCATCCTGTCGACAGCATCCTCATCCCATATCTTGCTGTGCCTGGCTGGTGCACACTGTCACTGGCACGTCTAACTTCATCTCTTGTCACAGGAGCCAGAGAAGAGGGCAGTGAGAGCATGGGAAGCAAAGTAGTGTTATTCTTTCAGTGTTGAAGCGTGAAAAGAATGACAAAGTGTTTGATTTTACAGCACCTAAAGTCCAAAAGATGCTTACAATTAATGTTTTTGCTACCAAGTTTTACCCAAGGCACAGATTTTATAAGATTGACCAGAAGTAAAGTTTTCTTTGAGCTTCCAAGTTTTTACTAAGCATGTTTTTTAAATTAACAGAGAAGACAAAACTTTTTTTTCAACCCAAACACATTATGTCATCATCCAGTCTGAGAGAAAGAGGTATAATGAACAAATAATGTATAATGAAACAGATCTCTTTAAAGTTAATAATCTACTATATTACACATAAGTTAGGAAAAATTATACAAGGAAACAGTAGCTCTAACAAAATAGTTGATAAAACTTCCAGGATATTGGTGAAAAAGAATGACAATAATTTGTTGGCTTTTTTTACATAGCATTTAGCATATAGGAAGGAGGCCTGGACATTGCAGAAGGGAGAAATATTTCATAATGAAGGGCTGGGATAAAAATATTACTCTATGTTTGTGCCAGTACAGAAATGAGTGTCCCGTTATGCACACCAACTTCTGTTTTTCCTTGAATAAAATGGGAAGCAAGTGCCTGTCCTGCTTTGCAAGTAACCCCACTGTGCAAGTACATTGAATTTACAACAGAGCACGTGAGAACAGGATTTTACCCAGTGCCCTCAGACAGGTTTTTAGGCCGCTTTTCCATTTCCTTTTTGCTCCAAATTCAAGCTGGATGTTAGTCAGGCTGGATGTTTGCCACCTCTATCTTATCAGAAATCTGTTTTGACTATCTCTAAAGCTGCGCCGAGGCATGAAAATCGTCCTCTAATGTCCAGCATATTTATGGCAACACTCTGGGGCTGTGGTGACAGATGCTCTTCTGACAGCCAGAAAGAAACAAAATAATTGTAATTGCTAATGATAGGAACAAATGCAGCACATATACGCACCTAAACGTGATCCTGCCTGAGAGATGCTCTCCAAGCTGCCTGAGGTGGCTGACAGCCATGTATTTAGATTCCTGCCTTGTGTGTTGCTTCTGACAGGCACCAC